AGAAAATAAAAAAGGAGAACTTTCTTTTCCTTCTTGTGTCCCCTTTCCTTGGATTTTTTCCTATATCCGGGAAATAGCGAGCGGGAAAGGATATATGCATTGCTTGGTTCATCCCACTCCATCTCTCCCCTTCGCTAAGGTCTGGATACCGCTTAAAGTGCGCATCAGTAGATGAAGGGATTAGATAAAACGTTGGATACATCTTCACGATTTCACTTCTATGCTGCTGTAATAAAGAAGGAACTCTTCCCATTGCAACAGCATGGGATGTAACTGAAGAGCATTATGCTAAGTGAAATAAGCCCAGTCAATGAAGGAAAATACCACATGATCTCACTCATTTATGGATAATAAAGACCATTAAAAACTTATGAACAAAAATAGATACAGAGGCAGAGCTGCCTCGAACAAAATGTCAACTACACGAGAAGCTGGGAAGGTTGGAGCGGGGGTGGGGGAGTAAGAGATCAAACGAAGGACTTGTATGCATGCATATAAGCATAACTAATGGACCTAAGACACTGGGGGTAGGGGAGGCCAGGGGATTGTCAAGGGCGGGGGGAAAAAGGAGACATATGTAATACTCTTTGTAATACTTTAAGCAATAAAACAATTTTTTAAAAAAAGAGCAGATGGTAGAAAAAACAGGCAGGGCACTCTAGAGGTACAGAGGAGGAAGGCAAAAAGAGGAAGGAGCCTATGGCTAAGAGCCTGGGCTTTAGCATCAGATCTAGTTTCCCATCTCTATTGATCTTAGGCAAGTTATTTAATTTCAATTTCTTCATCAGTGATGGTTAACGAGATAATGCATGTGAAGTGCTAAGAGGTGGTATAATTAAAGCTATGGAGATCAATCGTAGAAAAATCAGAAGACAGGTGCTTAGAAGTCTCAGAAATAGCATCTGAGGTAAGATAGCTACAAGGCTTAAGTTGGTGGGAAGAGGAATTGCCATGAATACTTACTTTGAGAGACCCACAAGCCCGAGGAAAATAGGTCATACATGCCTTCATTCCCTCCAGTGCTGAGAGCTCACACTGTGGGGGAAAAAGCAAGGAAGAGATGAGAGTCCAATACCCCCATAGACCGCCCTCTCCACCCCACAACCCCCAAGGTCCCTCCTCATACACTTTTTCTTGGCCCTTCCTTCTCACTTCTTTGATCCTATTCCCCAATCACTTCCCATCACATTCCTTAATCCAAGCCATCTGAGTAAGACAGGCATTAAAAGGGGCAAAGGGCGGAGGGACTGGGCAGGTGTCTCACCTCTGGTCTGAGGCCCAGCAGGGAAGTGAGAAGGCCAGGGAGGTGGTTCATGGAGATGTCCCGGAAGACTGTAGGAAGCTGGGCTGCATATCGGAGCAGGTCCCTCAGAACAACCACAGCCAAATCCATCGTGGCGGGTGGGTCCTGGGACTAAAAAGCAACAACACCCCATGCTTCCAACCTCATCTTCATGGTCACCAAGAGAAGGAATGAGAGGTATGACAACACGGGGCTTTTGAGAAACACCACAGTTAATGTCAACATTACCATCAGATCCACTAGGAATAGAGTGCATTAGAGACATGGGGTATTCAAAAGTAACGTATTTGTCTACAGAAAGAACATGTGTTTACATTTTCGTATTAGGGGTATCTGGGGTCCTACGAATGTGTTTGGGGGAGGGGGAGAGTAACAAATCTACAACTGAAAGATCTAACTGGAAGAGCTCAAAAGCTTGATTCTCCCATATTCTACCTCCCTTCAGTGGAAGAGCACTCTTAGACTAAAAAACAAAGTCTCAGCCGCAACAAAATCACTGCATCTCTAAGCTGGCTCAAACCTACCCTGGAATTCATGAAGAAAAAAACGGTTTGGGCCTGGCCAGTGGTGCAGTGGTTAGAGCATTGCCCCACACACTGAAGGGTTGTGGGTTCCATTCCTAGTCAGGACACATACCCAGGTTGTGGGTGCATGCGTGAGGCAACAGATGGATGTTTCTCATATTGGTGTTTCTTTCTCCCTCTTCCTTCCTCTCTCTCTAGAATGCATAAAAAAAAAAAAATGGCCCTAACCGGTTTGGCTCAGTGGATGCAGCGTCGGCCTGCGGACTGAAGGGTCCCAGGTTCGATTCCAGTCAAGGGCATGTACCTTGGTTGGGGGCACATCCCCAGTAGGGAGTGTACAGGAGGCAGCTGATCGATGTTTCTCCCTCATCGATGTTTCTAACTCTCTATCCTTCTCCCATCCTCTCTATGAAAAATCAATAAAATATATTTTTTTTAAAAATGTGCCCACCCAGCCGGCATGGCTCAGTGGTTGAGCGTCGACCTATGAACCAAGAGGTCGAGGTTCAATTCCGGGTCAGGGCACATGCCCATGTTGCAGGCTCAATCCCCAGTGGGAGGCAGCTGATTGATGGTCAAGCTAAAAAATGATTTTTACATTTTTAAAGGGTTGGCAAACTACCAAAGAAAAAAACAACATGCAACAGAAACCATATGTGGTTTGCAAAACATAAAAGATTTACTATCTATAAACATTTACTTCATAGGAAGTTTCCCAGCCCCAGAGCAAGACTCAGCACCATGAAAGCAGGGTCCACGTCCATCTTACCACTGTCTCCCAGAGCTTAGCACACAGCCTGCCACATGTGCTCAGAATGACTGTCGAAGAAGTAAACGGAGATGTCATCAAAGATGTAAAAGTAGAAAAATATTAAAATGTTGAAAGAGAAAGAAAGGAGTGGACAAGAAAAAAGAAATCAACCTGGAAAAAGTAGCTTTAGAGATGTCACTCATTAGAAAAGCTAATGAGGAAGAGAAACAGTCAGAGGTTACAGTGTGTGAAAGGTCAGATGAATTAAAATAATTCAGTAGTTGAAAATAGCAAAAAGCTTAAAAGGACTTCCATTTGAAGCTTATCCTCCCTACGATCAGAAAACTGCTAATTATTCTGTCCTCAGAACTAAATGTCCAAGCCACAAAGAAAACACCACATCCAGAATGGGGAACAAGGAATGGTTGGGGGAGGGGGCGCAGTCAGGGCAGCAGCTGAATCCTTACCTGCAAGACCTGCTGGATGCTCCGAAGCCAAGAGACACAGTGCTGCTGGAACATCTCTGTAGAGCTCTCCCCAACCAGCAAAGACAGCAGACAGAGGCCCTCAAACCTTGTAAGAAAGGAGTGAGTGATAACAAGGTGGAGGCTAGACTATGGAAAGCTATGTATTGCTCTTTCACACTCACTGGACTAGACTACAGCAAGACTTCACCTCCAGGTCACTGAGGTTTCTAAATCCTGAAATACTCAGAAGACTTGGAGTGAGGTACAGGCAGCAAGGAAAGGGAACAGAGATCTTCATAATCCCAGGTGGGGCTGGAATGGGTGAGATCCAGCTCAAGTGAGTTCATGAAAGAATGACACTCCCCAGCCTCCTGGGAGCGAACCTCTTGACTCCATGGGTGGACAATAACGGACAGCTGTAAGCTCACTTCCTAAGGAAACATCCTTTTGGAGGGGAAAAAAAAAGGTTAAAGACTTACCGAGTTTTGATAGAACTGAGACGTGCATTACTGAGACCCACCAACGCCCCAACAGCCGAAAGGTTCTAGAAGAAAACAGGAAAGTGAGTCAGGAATAGGATGCTAAAGGTGCAGAATTTCCCCAAGCCCTGCCGTGTCCCAGTATCTATGAAGCCTTTTCTGAAGTCCCACCTCCTCTGAGGAGAAGAGACCATTCCTCTAGACTAGAGGCCTCGGCCTTTGTCCTATCTTCAGTAGGTGACACACACAGCAGCCTGTCCTGCAGACTTTCCTCAAAGTCACGTCATGCTTGACTCCTTCTTTTACTGTCCACCCTACAGATTAGTGCTATACAGAGGACAGCCCAACTCATCCCAGCTACCAGACCTCAAAGACAGGTCTGCTTCACCGGTATATCCCTGAGCAGCACCTAGCAGGAGACATTCGTAAATGCTTGCTTTAATGGACACTGAACTCACCTGTTTCCCTTCCTCCTTCACACCCAAACAAATCCCCCTCTTCCTGTCCCTGGCTTCCTTACACCTGCTAAGAATGCCAAGGTAGACTTCTGGTCAAGATGGTGTACGAGTAAGTAAATGCTGTACTTACCTCCTCCCATGACCACATCAAAATTACAACTAAACTACAGAACACCCATCATTGAGAACAGCCTACCAGTGGTTCTCAACCTTCCTAATGCCACGACCCTTTAATACAGTTCCTCATGTTGTGGTGACCCTCAACCATAAAATTATTTTTGTTGCTACTTCATAACTGTAATTTTGCTACTGTTATGAATCGTAATGTAAATATCTGATATGCTGTATGTGTTTTCCGATGGTCGCGACCCACAGGTTGAGAACCGCTGGAACAGAAATCCTGTAACTAAGGATATACGGAAGAAGCCACAGACTGATAGGAGGGGCAGAGATGTGGAACAGGCTGGTCCCACACCCACATGTGGCAATAAAAAATCTGAAGGGATAGCTCAGCTGCAGAGGTGCCCCCTGAGGAGAGGTCCAAGCCCCACACCAGACTTCCCAGCCCAGGGTCCCAGTGCCAAGAAGAGACGTTCCCATAACTTCTGGCTGTGAAAACCAGCAGTGAGACGGAGGGCTATGGAATCCCGTGCAGAGACTTATTCAGACTGGCTCCCTCTGAACTCCAGCCCTGGGGCAGCAGCTCAAAAGGCAGCAGGGACATAGAGGGAGCAGCAACTAAATTATCTGGCTTTGGGGCAAGGGCTAGAGCAGTGGTTCTCAACCTTCTGGCCCTTTAAATACAGTTCCTCATGTTGTGACCCAACCATAAAATTATTTTCGTTGCTACTTCATAACTGTAATGTTGCTACTGTTATGAATCGTCATGTAAATATCTGATATGCAGGATGGTCTTAGGCGACCCCTGTGAAAGGGTCGTTCGACCACCAAAGGGGTCACGACCCACAGGTTGAGAACCGCTGGGCTAGACAGATAACTTTCTCCCAGACAGAAATACTGGCAGAACTTGGATAAAATATTTTCAAGGACTTTTTCCTTTATTTTTGTTAACATTTTAAAAATATGTATGGCATGGCAACTACTTAAGGGAAGACCAGGTTCCTTTCCCTCTATGTGTATGAGACTGTGATACTGCAGGCACTGAAGCCAGGCTCCTTTTTCTTTCCTAGTTCCATGTTGGCCTGTTTTAACAGAATGGGGCTATCTCTGTTGTAAGATACATGTAGCCTTGCCGAGGCCGGTTTGGCTCGGTGGATGGAGCGTCAGCCTGCGGACTGAAGGGTCCCGGGTTCGATTCCGGTCAGGGGCATGTGCCTTGGTTGCGGGCACATCCCCAGTGGGAGATGTGCAGGAGGCGGCTGATCGATGTTTCTCTCTCATCCATGTTTCTGGCACTCTGTCCCTCTCCCTTCCTCTCTGTGAAAAATTAATAAAATATATTAAAAAAAAAAAAAAGATACATGTAGCCTAATGTTTGTTAGCTTTGTGGTCTGAAGTGTTTATCTCTCAAGCAGATTCCTAAGTAGACCAAATCTTTGTTGCTAAAGTGTTCTGAGATGCATGGTTAAAACAACCTTCCTCCTCTAAGATCTACTTTTTAAGCCCAACACACCCTGTAGTTTATCAACTGCATGTGTGGCCTCTAGAAGTTAGTATGCTAAGCTGACCAACACAATGGTAGTAACTGTCCATAGGGTTTGTCTCCAAAGAAAAGGATTGTGTAGCATAGCAGAAATATAAACTACCTAGGCATGTTGTAAAGCCGTTTGAAAGTTACTCAGAGCAAGTTTTGTGAATAGAAGTGTAGTGCTCTCGTCACATTCTGCTTTAAAAAGTTATGGCAAATACAGACAAATTAAAAAGAAAAGGGAAAAAAAAGAAATACTGGCAGAAGCCATTGTTCCTTTGCTGGGCTCTTCCCTGACAGGTGCAGGCAGGCACTACCTCTGAGTCTCCATCAACCTAACACTGTTCACCCACCCTAGTAATTTCCTTACCTTGACCCACCCAACTTGCCAACCCACCCAAGTGGCTTCCAGTAGCTTTTCCATATAACAGTCCTAGCTGGTTTGGCTCAGTGGATAGAGCGTCGGCCTGCGGACTGAAGGGTCCAGGATTCAATTCCGGTCAAGGGCACATGCCCAGGTTGCAGGCTCAATTCCCAGGCAGCCGATCAATGATTCTCTCTCATCACTGATGTTTCTCTCTCTCTCTCTCTCTCTCTCTCTCTCTCTCTCTCTCTCTCTTTCTCTCCCCCCCCCCTTCCTCTCTGAAATCAATAAAAATATGTTTTTTAAATATAATAAATAAAATAACCAGTCTGTCTCGGCTCATGCTTCAGAGTTTCCTAAAATCTCACAAAGGTTCACAAACCCCAAACAAGCAGAACCTGGCTTCACCATGCCCCAACTAGCTAAGCAACCCCAAACACAGCACTAGCAGCACCTAACCTCAGTTCATAGCTTAACCTCTCCCAGGCACCTCCAAGCCCAGCACAAATGGCAACCATCTGCACATCACTTTGTAGCTCGTACCAGGGGGCTCTGAGCAGGGCACAAGCAGCAGCTAACCTTGGCCTGCACCTCCCAAGAGACCCCAAAACAAATACACCCAGTGGCCAGCTTCAGGCCACGTCAGAGCGCCACCCAACCACCTCTAGAAATGACATACTCCAAGGGCACACTCAGCAGGCATCAGTACCCTGATAAAGCAAATCCTGCTCCCCTGCGCAATGGCTCCTCCACTATAGTCACAGCCAGTCCTCATAATCAATCAGCCTGAGGATTAATCCATCTCACTGATGTACCAACAGCAATCAAGGCTGAACTACAATAAAAGGGCACACACAACCCACACAAGGGACACACCTGGAGTGTCCAGCTCAGGCGACCAGGGAGACTGTACCACTGGGCCCCACAGACACTCTACCAAGACCAGGAGACATGGTAGCTCTACCTCATACATAGGAACAAAGAGGGAAGCTGCTAAAATGAGGAGATAAAGAAGCATGTCCCAAATGAAAGAACAGAACAAAGAAACTCCAGAAAAAGAACAAAATGGAGACAAGCAATCTACCAGATGCAGAGTTCAAAACACTGGCTATAAGGATGCTTAATGATTTCAGGGGAGAATTTCAACAAAGAGATTATAGAAAATAAATATAGAAAACATAAAATGAATATAGAAAACATAAAAAAGAACCAGTCAGATATTAAGAATACAGTAACTGAAATAAAGAATACATTAGAGCCGAAACCGGTTTGGCTCAGTGGATAGAGCGGTGGCCTGCGAACTGAATGGTCCCGGGTTCGATTCCGGTCAAAGGCATGTGCCTGGGTTGCGGGCACATCCCCAGTAGGAGATGTGCAGGAGGCAGCTGATCGATGTTTTTCTCTCATCGATGTTTCTAACTCTCTATCTCTCTCCCTTCCTCTCTGTAAAAAATCAATAAAATATATTTTTAAAAAAAAATACATGGGGAAAAGTAAAGTTTCCCTTTTAAAAAAAAAAAAGAATACATTAGAGTGAATCAACAGATTACATGAAGTAGAGAATCAAATCAGTGATTCAATTCCCTGTCAGAACCTATGGGAAAGCAATGTTGGTGATTAAGCCTAGGTGGACGGACCAATCAACAGATCTCTTTTTCTCTCAAGCACCAAGCCTATTGCTTACCTTCATTACTCATCCCCACTACACTAGAATCTCTCTCAAGAAATTTGTCTTGCTTATCTAACCTAAAGATGAGGAATAGTAGCTAACACATAACGGATACTCAATAAATGTTTGCCGAATGAAAATCTATGGGGAAGCAAGGGAAACCATACAGTTCCAATACAGTACTGAAGACCCAATATCAGAGACACAAGTAGAAAAAACTCAAGGCAGGATATACTCAAAAATGTGATACATGCAATATTAAAGGAAGGAGTCTCACTTCCCACATCACCTTTAGCTTCTTTACTCAAAATTCTACTAGACTTTTAGGCACTTAGAGAAAATAAACAAAACAATAAATTCATGTAGCTCACCTTGAGGGAGGAGGGGAAAACTTGAAAAAGATGATGCAAGAAATCACACATACATAGGCAGAATACATAACCTTTCAGAAATACTTAGGAATATGAAAGGATTTAGAAGGAAAAGGAAATATGTAATCAGCTCCTGCTTCTGAAACTGGGCTGAGATAGCAGAGGCACAGCTTTGATACCCTCAACAATGAGGAGTAATGTTAATACAAGTAATAAATGAGGTCATTCCTCATGAATTTGGGGCCAAGATAATTGGACCACCCAGCGGGTTATGAAAACCCTCTTCCTGGAAGGAAGCATAGAGCTCAGAAGGTCCCATAACAAAGGCTGGACAAGAAAGACCTCGTGTACATCAGTCTCAAAGCAGGAAGCACGGGTAGAATTTGGGGGAGGACTGGGGGAAAGGCTGGAGGGCAAGAGATAGTAAAGGAACACCTTCCATAGTTAGACATGTTATATCTCCTTAGAATCAGTGGCTCCACCTGAACAAGATGGGGGTTCAAGCTAGAATGGAAGCAATGACACAGATGTGGAAAGGAGTGGACAGATCTAAAAACTACTCAGAGGATAAAACCAACAGGACCTAACAGAGTGCGTATGGAGGTGTGTGAGCAAGAAAAAAAAGTGTTTAGGATGGATGACATTTGGGTTTCTAGCTTGCAGAACTGAATGGATGCGAGATTCTACTCTTAGTATAATCCAAAGAACCCTGCTAAACTCGTCTAAAAAGCTCTACATGACCTGTCCACTACCTATCCACCTCGCCAGCCTCACAGCGCCCACTCTCTTCCCCTCCCCCTGAGCCCCAGGCACAATGCCCTTCTTTTCTGCTCCTTCCCACCACAGGGCCTTCCGACATGAACTTCCCCCTGACTGAACCACCCTTCCCATTTTCTTTCCCTACCAACCCCTACTCATCCTTGGGGGTCTCAGCTTAAACTCCAGTACCTCTAACCTAATTCTCCAGAGTAGGGTCAGAGGTCCCTGCTACACAACGCTCATAGTGTTTTATAACGTTCTGTTCAACACCATCACATCTATAACCAACTGAAGCATCCGGTACTTGGCCCTCAGTATGAGTTCAGTAAATACTTATTTGTTCAATACACATTCACTTAGCAGGAAAAAATCGCAAAAATAGATACTCCCAGAAGGAAAAAGAAGCTAAAGATCACAGATCTAGTGAGTGACGGGGCCTGGAATGGAATCCATTCGTGTGTGACTACCAATAGCCTAGCAATAGAGAAACGAGGCCCACGTTATCTCGAGTTCCTCCTCGTGGCTGAAAAGAGCGAAATACGTGAATTTCGTGCAGACTGACACCCGGATTCGCTTTCTGCACCCAACTCTGCTTCCCTCCACCGGACCACTGCAGCTGCAGCCCCGTGAACCTGGGGCACAGATGCCGCGCCCACCTCCCACCGGGGCCGCCCACACGCCGGCCACAGACTCACCTGGGCCCCGCCCACCGTCCCATGCAGCCGCAATAGGCACATGAGCCCGGGCAAGTGTGGGGCCGAACGGACCGGGGGATGCACGGGAGGAATGGTGGACCCCGCTCGCGGCTGCAGCAGCCCGGACACGCTCTCCAGCAGCAGCATACGGAGGCGCGGGCCCGAGCCCACCGCCGAAAGGCCCCCGGCCCCGCCGGGAACCGCAGCCGCGGAGCCCGCAGAGGGCCCACTGAGCACAGCTGCGGCCATCTTCCCCCGGGCTCTAGTGGTGGCGTGGCGCGGCGCGATGACGCAAACACAGCGCGACGCACGCCTGTGGAGAGGGGCAGAAGGGGGTTGTGGTCCTGCGCCTGGGATGCCCGGGGATTGGGCTCCGGGCTCTGGTGGGAGGGAGCATGCGCGGGGTGGGCGGGGTGCCGGGCGCGGGGTTTGGTTCCTGGACGGCGAAGGGCTGGCGGGCGGGCCGGCCGGGGGCGCCTTAGGAACACACGTGGTCAGGACAAAAGGCGCCGCTGTCCCGAAGGGGATGCTTTAAAATAACAGAATCCAGACACTTTCGCTCTAGGCAGCACTGACGTCTAAGGAACTGACCTCTTGTTTGAAACCATAGACATTTTAAACTACATTTACAACTACAGAACTGACACAACACGCTCCTTGCCAATTTAAAAAGGTCAGTAAACCTAACATTGGAATGATGTATAAGGCATAGAACACTATTCTACACGGTTGGCAAGGAAGTAGATTGATGCAGCCTTTCTTCTTTTTTTTTTAAATATATTTTATTGATTTTTCACAGACAGGAGGGGAGAGGGATAGTTAGAAACATCGATGAGAGAGAAACATCGATCAGCTGCCTCTTGCACGCCCCCTACTGGGGATGTGCCCGCAACCAAGGTACATGCCCTTGACCGGAATCAAACCTGGACCCTTGAGTCCGCAGGCTGACACTCTATCCGCTGAGCCAAACCGGTTAGGGCATGATGCAGCCTTTCTTGATGGCATCTTGCTAGTTCCCGAGGCAGTCTCTTTCATCCGACATTTACTCATTCAACAAATATTTATTGAGCACCTTTTAAGGTGCCAGGCACCATTCTAAGTGATGAGAATAAAATAATGAAGAAGACAGTACCCTTCTAGACTGAAGAGATAGTCAATAAATAAGAAAATAAATAAATTTTGTATAGAGCTATGTGTTATTTAAAAAATAAGCATGGCCCTAGCCGGTTTTGCTCTGTGGATAGAGCGTGGCCTGAGGCCTGAAGGGTCCTGGGTTCAATTCCGACCAAGGGCACATGTGGGGGTTGTATGCTCAATCCCCAGTAGGGGGCGTGCGGAAGGCAGCCGATCAATGATTCTCATTATTGATGTTTCTATCTCCCTCTCCCTTCCTCTCTGAAATCAATAAAAATATATTTAAGAAGAAAAAAAGAACTGCCTTATATTTGAGAAGACCACTGGTTGCTGTGTGGAGAAGGGACTTAGAGGGCTAAGAGGGAAGCAAGGAGAGCAATAAAGAAGCCACTGTGACCTGGTCAGGTGGCTCAGTTGGTTGGAGCATCACCCTGTACACCTATCAGGTTGCAGGTTTGATTCCCAGTCAGAGCACATACCCAGGCTTCAGGTTCGTTCCCTGGTCAGGGCATACAGGGGAGACAACTGATCAATGTTTCTCTCTTTCTCTCCTTCCTCTCTCTCTAAAATCAATAAAAAAACATATCCTCCGGTGAGGATTTAGAAGGAGGAGGAGGAGGAGGAGGAGGAGGAGGACAAGGCATTGTAAGAAGCTATCATAACAGGCCAGGTAAGAGAGGATGGTGGGGGGAAAAAATGAAGATGGTGACTGGGACCAAAATGGCACTGGAGATAGAGAAATAGAGGAAGAAAGAAAAAATAACCCAATGGATTCATGTATTTTGGAGGCAGAATGCCAGGACTTGAAGAAGGATTAGATAGAAGGCAGTACGAGAAGAAAAAAGAAGACCCTTGCACTTCAGCCTTGAATTTGACTTTTAGTATATTCAAACTAGAGCCCCAATGCACGAAATTCATGCAAGGGGCTTGGCCCTCAAAACCCCGGCTTCATCCAGAAGGTCGTCCAGAAGGACGTTCAGCTGTCTTTTCTAATTAGCATATTATACTTTTATTATTATAGAAGATTAAAGAGCTGATGCACAAAATTTGTGTAAGAGTAGGCCTTCCTTCCCCCGGCTGCTGGCACCAGCTTCCCTTTGGCACCCAGGACCCGGGCTTCCCTCCAGCCACTGGCAGGCACCCAGGACCCAGGCTTCCCTCGCAGCCCCAGCTTTGTCCAGAAGGTCGTCTGGTCTAATTAGCATATTATGCTTTTACTGGTATTATTTTAGATTATCTTTGTGCACAAACTAGTTCCATTGTTCTTTTGATGTGCATTAAATTTATAGACAATTTTCAGATAAATTAAGTTTTTAAAGAATTTTTTAAGTATTTATTGATTTGAGAGAGAGAAACATCAATGTGGGTAACATCGACTGGATGCCTTGACCAGGATGGAACCTGCAACCCAGGCATGTGCCTTGACTGGGACTCAAACCAGCGAGCTTTTAGTTTATGGGACAATATTCCAACCAATTGAGCCATACCAGCCAGGGCAAGAAATGACATCTTTATAGTAATGGTTTTTCTCAGTTAGAATAGGGCATATCTCTTCCATTCTTCCTGGCCTTTATTATCTTTCTAAAGTTGTCTTTCTACTAGTATCTTTCAATACAATAGTTTTCATTCCATGCAGACCACTTACTTTTCAGTTCCAAAAGCACTTTAGATATGTAGCAATAAAGATCTCATTACCTTTCTGGTCATGACCCTTTGACAAAAGTGATTGATGAGTCTACAAGAAATGTTTAAATATTGAAATAGGTCAGTGGTTCTCAACCTTCCTAATGCCATGACCCTTTAATATCTTTAATACAATAGTTTTCATTCCACGCAGACCACTTGCCTTTCAGTTCCAAAACCACTTTAGATACGTAGCAATAAAGATCTCATTACCTTCTGGTCATGACCCTTTGACAAAAGTGATTGATGAGTCTACAAGAAATGTTTAAATATTGAAATAGATGAACAGTGAACTTAGAAGTTGGTGAGAGAACTGAAGATGGGGAAGTGGCAGCTGGTGGGCAAGGCCTGTGTTTAAACCTTAAAGATGATCTCATGCCCTGACTGGTTTGGCTCAGTGAATAGAGCATTGGCCTGCAGACTAAAGGGTCCCAGGTTCAATTCCAGTCAAAGGCATGTACCTTGGTTGCAGGCATATCCCCAGTAGGAAGTGTGCAGGAGGCAGCTGATCAATGTTTCTCTCTCATTGATGTTTCTAACTCTGTATTCCTCTCCCTTCCTCTCTGTAAAAAATCAATAAAATACATTTAAAAAAAAAGATTATCTCAGACCATGCCATGTGGCTCAGGGATTGAGCATCGACCTGTGAACCAGGAGGTCACAGTTTAATTCCTGGTCAGGGTATGTGCCTAGATTGGGAACTCGATCCCCAGTAGGGGGCATGTAGGAGGCAGCCAATCTATGATTCTCTCTCATCATTGATGTGTCTATCTCTCTCTCCCTCTCTCTTCCTCTAAAATAAATAAAAATATCTTTAAAACAAAACAAAAGAAGATGATTTCAGAAACAGTCTTGTGTGTGTTACTTTTTGTTGCATACAAAAGTGGAGGGGGGAGTGTGAAGTTGTTTCATTTGGAGAAGATAGTGAGAGTATGGAAAAGGAGATGGAAGAAATACTGTAGCTCCTTAAATCCAGAATGTCAGTCATCCATCCTCCTCCCAAAATCCAGTCAATTTTGCCCTAGAAATAACTCGTCAGTCTGGCCTCTCTTCTTCCCTCCACTCTGTGGTTCATCATCTCCCCTCGATTAGTTTTAGGCTACAACAGCCTTGCCACACTCCCTCCACCCTCCACATTGCCCAGAATTATCTTCCTAAAAGAGAAATGTCATCATGCCACTCCTTTGCTTTAAGGAACACTACTGGGTCCATGTGTCCTCCTCCAGAGAAGCGCCTCGGTCTCATTCCTTTTTACCTGTTATACAAAACCCTTCACACTGTTCCAGTCTTCCTTCTCAGCCTTCTCTCTCCTGCTGTCTTACCCCCACAAACACTTCAGAACAGGCTGTGCCTTGCCTTTCTCTGCATTTGGAACGCCCTTTCTCAGCTTCTGCCCACCATTCATACAGATTGTCCTCAAATGTCCCCTCCTCTGGACAGCCTGCACTCCTCCACCCCCACCTCAGCAAAACCCTAATAGTAGCTGCTTTGTCTTCTGAGTCATAACTCCATTATAGCATTCCTGGAATCATACTTATTTATGTGTTTCCTCAAGTATACTAGGAAGGCAGGAGTCCTGTTCATTCATGTCTGTGTCCCCATCGCCCTCGCATAGTGACTGGCACAAAATAGGCACGGGTAGATGGAAGAATGTTAGAATGTTAGCTGCCATGAGTGGATGGAGGAGATGAGTAGTCCGAGAAAGTAGGCAAAGTAATCCTGCAAAGATCAAAGACAGACACCAGGGGGAGCTGACACACCACAATAAAGAAGTGGGAGGGCTGGCCAAGAAAGCTGCCAGCACTGGAGTAAGCGGTGCGCACCGAAAGCACGCATCCCCCAGCTGGAACCGCTCGGCCACGTGTGCATCCTCTCGCCCTCCGCCCAGACCACGCTTGAGCTCATGCTACAGCCCCCACCGCCTCCACCACCCACCAACCCCGTGTTCTCCACCGCCACTGAGAAAGCAAACAAAGGGGAGGAGACTCCTGCAGGGTTCTGGATGCCGGGAGCCAGTCAGAGGGCTGTATTCTCCCGGAAGGCGGGCGCCTCCGTTTAAGGGAGCCCAATCAGTTCCTCGGGGAGGGTAAGGATGGGAGAGAATGGGCGGGAAGAGCAGGGAGTTGGGAGGGACCCCTCGAAAGGGATGGGACCGGCGGGCGGGCGGAGCCAATCACTGTGAGTGTCTGGGAGGAGAGGGCGGGGCTGCGTGGCAACGCGCGCGATCCGGGCTGACGCATCTGGCCCTGGTTCCCCAGGATCCCGGGGGGGGGGGGGGCGGGGTAAAGGGGGCCCAGCGGGGAGGGGGAAGCGGAGAAAGAGTCTGGGGCGCGCGTGCGCAGCGGCGTGGGGAGGAGCAGGGAGGAGCAGGGACCTGGCAGCGGACTGGGAGGCTGCGAGCGAGCCGTGAACCGGGCGGGCGGCGGGTGCGCGCACCATGGGGGAGAAACCCGGGACTAGGTAAGGGAGGTGGGGCCGCTCGGCGGGACGTGGGCGGCGGCTCCGGGCGGGTGCTGGGACGGTCGACAGACAGGGACCCTGGGGAGAGAATCGGGAGCCTGGGGGGCAGCCATCTGGGGCCGCACGCCTAAGTCCTCGGGGGTAGTGCGGGGGGACACGCATGCCGGAGTCCCTGCAGAAAGCGAGTGCTCAAGGGAATCAGGAAACCGGCGTCTGGGTTCAGGCAGGGATGTGGGGTCCGGCGACTCGGTTCTCCCTTGCAGGCTGCGATGCCGGGGCGGAGGAAGGTAGAGCAGGTGGCCGGTCCCGAGGGGTCGGATATGGGCAGGCTGGATGCCGGAAGGGGGATCCCCATAGACTCGTGCTTAGCCACTAGGAAGCCTTCTATTCAGTACCCCACAGGCAGTGGGGCTGCCCCCACCTGTCCCGAGGGCCGGGTAGCTCAGCTTCCAAACTTCTGCCTTCCCCAGGGTTGCTAGGAGCAACAGCCTCATTTTAAGAGAGCTGAGCGCTTGGCGATCCTCCCCAAGTCTGGGCCTTACCCCTCTTCCCGCGGGTGAGGGGAGGCGGTGTCTGCCCTGGGCACCCCATCCACTCCCCGGATGTTTTATGTGCAATCGAGGCTCCTTCCTTACACTGGCACCCCGAGTTCTGGTTTTTGATCTCTAGCACAATCCACTTCCTGTTGTGACCCAACACCCCCAAGGGGGCAGTGGGCGAATGCCTGAGGCCCTGGGGAGCAGGCGCAAGAGGAAAAATTGGGGCTGTGTAGCTCTATCCAGAGGGGATCAGGAAGAGGGGCCTGGTCCTGAGCTGTCACTTGTTCTGCAAAACGGTGCCATATCAGCCCCACCATTCACCACCTATAGAGTAGGAGAACCCAGGTTTCTGAGCGCCAAGTCGAATCAGTATTGGGGAGAGATAATCCGAGAAAGGACTGGTGTCCTGGTTTTGGGGTTAAACAACCCAGAGAAAGGGGAAGTTGCTCGGGAGGGAGGCCCCCGATTTCCGTTATGTGGCTCGGGGAGAGGGAAGGATGGACCAAAGGGGGACTGCTGACTTGGCATAATTCCTCCCATCAAATTCTGGGCCACAGGAAATGTAGATAATAGCAGGAAGTGTGAGGGGGCATCTGCTTCTGTGCCCCCCTCCCTCTGGTCACCCCCACACTCCGCCTCCTTGGCCAGCTTCAGTGTACACACGCTGCTTCTCCCTCGCCTGGCAGGAGGTTGGCTGGGTTAGGATCCAGAAGGCAGGTGCCCTGCAGCTGCTCCAGGGCAATTACCACAAACCGACACTCCGCTTGGCCAACGGATTGTGGATGTCACAGTCCTCTGCCAGGGCTCCTAATAGGAAGAAACACTGGGACAAAGGAAAACCAGAAGCAAAGGAGAGGAAGAGCTGGATGGTGCCATAGCAATCAGACCAAGTTGGGGCAAGAGAAGGGGTGCTTAGTCCAGCTGGCCATCATGTCAGTGTTTACTCTGCTTTATTGGATGGCGATACCCAGGGGACCTCCATAACCTCTGCCTTATGGCCTCTGGATAGCTTGGCCTTCTGGGAAGAAGGGGCAAGTAAAGTGATTACAGCAGAAATGGGTGGTGGGACTGGAGGAAGGAGAGGCCAGCTGGTGGGATTTCAGCTTCTCCTATCTGGGGACCCTTCCCAGAGGTCACCGCTGAGGCAGAGTGGATTGGGAGGTGGTGCAGCAAAGAACAAGCCCCCAAGTGGCCAGAGCCTTGGAGTTGCCAGCCACTTCCCCACTCTTCCAGCAGCGGGTGGAGCCCAGGCCTGGATTGTTGTAGCAGTTGGGAAGTGAATCCCTTTCAACCCAACACACGTAATGCCAATTACAGAGGCAGGGCCGTATAATAGTTCAGTGACTAAGAGCATGGACTCGGGGCCAGACTGCCTGTTTGTCTACCATTTACACCGTGACCTTAGGCAAAATACTTGACCGCTCCTGGGCCTCAGTGTCCTCACCTATAAAATAGGAATATTGGGACCTCCATCGTTGGGTTAGTAAGAGTATTAAATGAGATAACACACATGAAACGCTTTAAACAGGGCTGGGTGTATTCACGCAGTAAATGGTAGCACCATCATCATTTTCGTATGCCTGGCATTGTGTTGGGGACACCTAAAGGAATGAGGCCTCTGCCGCTCATGGTCCATCTAGTGCAGCAGGCAGTACACAGCTAACTGCCCTGGCATAGTATCGTGCCACACATAAAACATAAACTAGGTATGACATGAACCCAAAGGAGGGACCAGGGTCTGGGCTTGATCCCCTTTTTAAAGGAGGTGATACCTGAGCTGGTCCTTGAAAAAGAAACAGGCTTTTAAGCTGCTGAGATTAGAGATGGGGAGAATTCGAGGTTAATGGAGTAGGGTCACACTTAGGTGGTGCCTAGAGTAGAAACCATTTTAAGGCAAAGGCCGAAGCCTGTCAGGTACTCCAGCTGTCTTTGAAGCTGGAGACCAGAGAAGATGGAAAGAGGGTTAGGTCTCTTGCAGACAATACTGCAACCTGCCCATTCAGGTCCCCTTGGGGGAGGTCCTCTGGGAAGAGCCAGGGTGGTTCCTGTGGCAACCAGCGGCCATTGCCGTGGAGGAGGGGAACTAGGGGAACTAGTGCTGGGTGGAGGGGGGTTGCCATGACAACCAGCTTTGAGGGGCTGCCGAGATGGGAATGTTAAGGACCTCTGGTTACCTTTTTGGGGAAAAGTGGGAGGGGGTAGGGCTGGACAAAGCCCCAGAGCCTCTAGGCAGGAATCCTGGGTGAGCTCTGCTGCTCAGGATGGGGAGGGATAAGGTCCTGGCATCCGGGTCCCTGCTGAGTCTGAGGGAGGCAGTGGGGTTTCCCTTTCTGTTTTGTTAGGGTCTTCAAGAAGTCGAGCCCTAACTGCAAGGTGAGTCTCCCACAGTGCTTCTCTTCCTGACCCTCCCTGGGCCCTCAACAAGGCCCAGCCTGCCCCTCGATGATCCCCAACCCCTATCTGCCCACTTCCTGTGACAGCTAAAAGCCAACTTCCTTCCCTCCAGAAGCCCCTTGCCACAAAGGCTGCTCCGCCTAAGCCAGCCACAGAGCTGGGTGGGGACAGGCCCCTAAGCAAGACCGAGGGGGAGGAGCCAGAAACCCATGCCTACAGCCCTCAGGCCATGGCCTATTTACCCCAGAGCCCTTCTCCGCTGTGACCCACAAACCCACACGCGCAGCCCACACGTCCGATTGCTGTGCAGAGGTGCGGAAAGATATTAGGGAGGAGCTAAAAAGCCTCAAAGCGGGGTGGTCTTTCGAGGCCCCACCACCTCCCCTTCCAGCTTCCTGGGAGGAAACCAGGACCCCTGGACATCCCAGCCTGGGAAGACCAGGGGCAGGACAGCCCTTGTGAGGCTCTGATGCCCTACCACCCTCCTACCCAATCTTCCCTGTGACCCCTCTCCATCCTCAGCTCACTGTGTACTTGGGCAAGCGGGACTTTGTAGATCACCTGGACAAAGTGGATCCCGTAGGTAAGTGTGCCCGCAAAGGGGCTTCTTGTCCCCCAAGAGGAGAAGGTCCTGGGCCCAGGAACAGAGGAGAGGTCCTGGCAGGAAATCAGCTCACATGTCCCTTTCCTAGATGGCGTGGTGCTTGTGGACCCTGACTACTTGAAGGACCGCAAAGGTACTGGCCCCCAACTCTAGGGGCTCAAGGGGAGGTGGGGGAGAATGTGAAACGGGCTGGCACTGAGAGGGGCCCCAGAGAGAGGGAGGGCTGAGGCACAAGCCAGGTGTAGGATTCAGGCAAGTCTTCGGCTGCCGAGAAGCAGCTGCTGCTAGGCCCTGGGAGGACTGGAGAAGGGGAGCTCCTGACCACCACCTTGCCCTCCCTTGCCAGTGTTTGTGACCCTCACCTGCGCCTTTCGCTATGGCCGTGAAGACCTGGATGTGCTGGGCTTGTCCTTCCGCAAAGACCTGTTCATCGCCACCTACCAGGCCTTCCCCCCAACGTCCAACCCGCCCCGGCCCCCCACCCGCCTGCAGGACCGGCTGCTGAGGAAGCTGGGCCAGCATGCCCACCCCTTTTTTTTCACAGTGAGGATGCCCCCCCACCTTTTGCAGGGCAAGGGGTCTGGGACTGTGTTTGGGGTGTGAAGCACCAGTTATGGGCAGGTCTGGAGGAAACAGTAAGGAGGGACCCTAGACCCACCTCCCTTCAGGGCCCTTTCCTCTCTGCCTCTGCCTGGGGCCTCTCCGTTTTCCTTCTCATCCCCAGGACTTCTTCTCCAGCCTCTGAAATGGAGATTGGGAGGAAGACTGGGGGCTTCCGGGGGAACTGAAGTCTCCCCTTCCCTCTGCCACAGATACCCCAGAATCTGCCCTGCTCCGTCACCCTGCAGCCGGGCCCAGAGGACACAGGGAAGGTACGGGAGAGACGGTTCTGAGGCTGGTGGGGCAGAGTAGGGTCCAGCAGGCACATGAGCTGGGGGTGGGCTATGGAGAAGCCAGGATGGGATGGAGGGTAGAGTACTGTTCCCAGTGGACATGGCTGTGTTCGGGATGGTCACTGCGCATGTGTGACCCTGCTTCTTGCTCTTGACCTGCATGTACCTGGGCATAAGGGCTCACCTTGCACAGCCAGGATGAAGCCTCTGCCAGGCGCCAGGCCTTGAGCAGGCAGAGGATGAGGGAGGGCCGGGCCCTCTGCTCCTCAGACCAGGATGGGGCAAGAGTTGCTGCCCAAGACTGAGGGAGGAGGGAAGGAAGGAAGGAAGCGGTGGTGGTGGTGATGGCAGGGGCCTTGTGCAAGACCTGACTTTTCCTCCCCCTCTAGGCCTGTGGCGTAGACTTTGAGATCCGAGCCTTCTGTGCCAAATCACTAGAAGAAAAAAGCCATAAAAGGTGAGGGAAGCCACCTCCCCTGTGGTTTGCCCATTCCACCCCGGCTCCCAGGAGCCCCAGCCCCTGTGGGAGGTGGGAGTGGCTGTTTGGGTGTCTAAGGGATAAACCCTCACCCCCAGGAACTCTGTGCGGCTGGTGATCCGAAAGGTGCAGTTTGCCCCAGAGAAACCCGGCCCCCAGCCTTCAGCTGAAACCACACGCCACTTCCTCATGTCCGACCGGTCCCTGCACCTTGAGGCTTCCCTGGACAAGGAGGTGGGGTGTGAGAGAGTGATGCAGGCGCCACAGTGCAGGCCAGACCCTGGGGGAGGGGTGAAGCCACGTGCGAAGGTGGCGTTTTTAAAGGAGGCTGCCAGAGCTAGCTGTGGAGAGTTGCTGTGGGCTTGGGTTTAGAGGGAAGAGGCCAAGCAATGTGTTTGCGTCTGGGCACACTGATCATGGGACCAGTGAAAACAACCAGTTAATTCGACCTCCCTCCCCTCAAAAGCTGTACTACCACGGGGAGCCCCTCAGCGTCAATGTTCACGTCACCAACAACTCCACCAAAACGATCAGGAAGATCAAAGTCTCTGGTAGGAGGTGGGGGTTGGAACGTGGTCTTGGGGGAGGGAGTTGCACACATGATCTGGCATCATCTCAGCTCAAGGGTCCTTTCCTCTCTGCCTCTTCCTGGGGCCTCTACCCAGCAGGGCTCACAGAATTCAGGCTATGCCCGGCCAGCATCGACCTATGAACCAGGAGTTCAGGGTTGGATTCCCAGTCTAGGCACATGTCTGGGTTATGGGTAGGGGATGTGCAGGAGGCAGCCGATCAATGATTCTCTCTCATCACTGATGTTTCTATCTCTCCCTTCCTCTCTGAAATCAACAAAAATATATTTAAAAATAAAGAATTTAAGTGGTCCCAGAGTGAGATACAGATCAGGTGTTCACTACTACAGGGAGGACCCGGGGGTGGGGGTGGGGGTGGCCTGGGCCCTTGTCTTGTGGTCTGGAGTGGGCGCTAGCCTTGGCTCCATGCAGAGCTGCTTGACCCTGCCCGCCCCACAGTGAGACAGTACGCCGACATCTGCCTCTTCAGCACTGCCCAGTACAAGTGCCCCGTGGCTCAGATCGAACAAGAGTGAGTATCAGAACAGCCCTGGGTCCCACCCTCAAGGGAGAAGAGTAGACCCGGGAGAATGTGAGGTGGGGGTGGAATTCTTCCCAAACCATCTCCACTTTCAAGGCCATTCTCTCCAGTCAGGTGGCTCTGAGCTGTTAATTTTCTTGAGCAGCTTGAGCCAAAACCTACTCCCTTGTGACTCGTGCCCAGAGAGAGAAGGGGCTGGCGATGGGGTTAGGAGTTGCCCCTCACCCAACCCGGCCGCTCCGATTGTCTTGTTCTCTTGTCCAGTGACCAGGTATCTCCCAGTTCCACGTTCTGCAAGGTGTACACCGTAACCCCACTGCTCAGTGACAACCGGGAGAAGCGTGGCCTTGCCCTGGATGGGAAGCTCAAGCACGAGGACACCAACCTGGCTTCCAGCACCATGTGAGGGGGGGCTCTGTGTGGGGGGGGAGGGTTCTCTTGCAGCCCAGGAGATAGATATTCATTCAGTACCAGCTGTGTGCCAGGTTCTGCCCTAGGTGCCAGGCTCTATCAGTAAACAAAAGAGACAAAAGGCCTCTTACATTCTAGGGGAGGGAGGATAGACAAAGCAGATATAGAGCATGTTTAGTGACCAGTGTTCAGGAGAAAAGGCAAGGCAGAGAGAGGGGCAGGGTGTGTTAACTTTGAATAGGGCGGCTAGGGAAGACATAATCCACGGGTGAATTTTGAGTAAGAGCCCAAAGGAAGTAGGCGATATGGACGTGTAGGGGGAGTGTTCCAGGCAGAAACTGCAAACACAGACCCAGAGGTGAGCGGAGCCGGTGTGTCTGAAGAAATCCGCTGCTAGCCTCTATGTGCACTGCACGACCACTCGGAGCAAGCCTAGAGGCCAGCATAGTGAGAATGAACTACAAGGACAAGAGTCGCACTTGGGGTTGGAGGGCTAATGAAGAGCAAGACAGTGCAGGGCTGTGAGGTCACAGGACTTTAGCTTTTATTGGGAGAGAGATGAGCAGCCACGGGAGGGTTCTGTGCAGAGGAATGGCGTGCAGGCCTTGGCTATGACAGCACAGCTCTGCTGCTGGAGCCTTGCGGCTGGTGTGAGTTTGTGGTCCTGCTCAGGGTCCACAGAGCGGGAGCCCTAAGGGTGGGCTAATGTGCCGGGCCGTGGGC